AGTTAGACGTAAAACTAATCCAATGTATTCTGTGATTTACCTTGGCTGTTTCAAGCCGTTTTAGAATATAAATTTTGTGGGAATGGCACGTGTTCATTGGATGCTTTTTAAGCTTCAAATACTCACTCTCCTTCTCATTCATGTGGTGAGGTAATATGGTTCGTACGCAGCTTGAAAAAAGTCTGGAAATTGCCCCATGGGAATTATGTTTTTCTCGTCTTTTCAGGACAAAAGCTGTGCTCTCGAGTGTGTGCACACGAATTGACTCATTTTCTGTTCCTAGTGCAAAACTGATCTCTGAATTAGTGTTCAGAGCAGTTTTCTGCATAGATGCATTATGGGATGGGGCAAGTAAGCACCGTTTTTTCACAAGAGGTAGGTAACTATCACCGCATTGCTCTGTGCTTTTCATATGTATGGATTCCGTTGTCAAATCGTTGAGTTAGCCGCAACTCAAGAAAAGGCAAAACAAATGACAGTTACTCAGAGTCGAACCGTCGTTGATGCTATTCTACGGCAACTCTCTTTATGTGTCCCCTCAAGTGAAATATATCATGGATGGTGGAAAATTGTGTACAGATTTTCCTCGTTTTGGGAAAGTCAGTAACTTGATATCCGTGCTGGATTTGCTGCAGCAAATGGGGTGAATTTCTTGCTGAATGGAATTAACAGTTAAAAGAAGTTAACCCATATTGGAATTTGAAACCGTTGGCTCTGGAGTTCGAGGTCGACCTTTTACTACTTCGTCTCCTCGCGTTAGATGGCACTCCGTTTAAACGCTTTATCCATGAAACAGCTTGACTATATCTGAGCAAACTACTACTAACCAATTTATACGTTGAGGATCTTGTGTGCCTCGGTGATTCTAAAGGCACTGATTGCATGAGCATCGCAAAGTGCTCCTGGCAGAGTACCCAATGCTAGACTGAGTGAACGGTTGAGATCAGGCCAAGTGCCTTCCACCCAGTATATTGATTATTTTACTACTACCTCTGACTACATATTCGCGATTTCGTACTTTGTAAGTCTTCATCCCGGATTATCAAGTTACGATTTGAAAAGATACACATTCGAACATTAGGTAGTGAGGTTCGTTACAAGGTATGATACAGTCTCTATCCGTACGCATACTCGTTAGTCAGCTATGCCGAGAAACTGTACTGCCAATGAATCCATATTTTAAGACGATAGCGTGGGAAAGTGCAAAATATGAAAAGGCCTCATGCGAGGGTTAAGACGTCGAAGAAGCCCCGCGGTAATGCTAAACTACCTTTCTTCAAGTTGGTTTGCGCACCTAACCAAGAGTGTAGTTATAAATTCTGGGCATCAAGCGATAGTGTATTGTCTGATACGAGATTCATAAATGTGGCTCTCAAAATACTGCAGATTTGATGAGACTTTACGGGCCCTGAAAAAAGGTAGGCTAACAATCGGAAGCTTTGTTTCATACTGCAATACAAGTATAAGTGCAAATCGTTTAAAGTATAGACTTATAATTCTATTTTTGCCATTTATTAACTGTTTAATATGAGAATGAACATTGTTACACAAAACACTGACCTTTGTGAGCTGTGACGTTTTTTACCAAGACTGCTGGTTTGTCAGTGCTCGGTCCTGCGGTCGTCGCATTGATTCCATATAACTGGCCAGTTACATGATTTAGCTCACCATACTATATATCAATGGGTAGCTCCCTTTAAGTACGACGCCGTTGCCAAACTAATGAACTTGTTGATGATTATGCAATGTAAATACGTTAGCAGGTAGTCTGTGGTCGTGAGTTTGAATTTATGTAATTGGCAGATGGTCATCTGAATCAATTATTTGACTTCGCTCTTCATATTGCCTCTCAGTGGAAAGTTTTCTGCCAATAGTACACGATGCTGCTGTCAAACAGTGAATACAGATGTTTTACATTTTATTTGATGATTCTATTTATCGTGGTCGCTAAATCAGCGCTCTGTCATTTGATCAGGAGTCAGAGTTTATATAATTGCAGCTGGTCATCTGTATCAATTACTTAATTTAATGCCTAACGTTATACTTCGCTCGAAAGCTCTCCGTTATCAGGATCAGTTTCACAGTTGCCATATTTTTCTGATGATTTCAGTAATCATGCAAGTTCATTAAATCAGCGCGCGTCACCTTTAACATTAACAGCCGCTAGTTTCAATTTATGAAACTTCCGTGGGCTTATCTCGGTTTTTTGTGACTAAATTCATCATGAGACATCAGTAAAATGCATAATAAATAACTTCTGTTATTACAGTGAATTTACCGATTAGGTTGACAATTTCTCAATGCTACTTTTTACCTACTGAATCACTATCTATCACTGTAGTAAGCAAAAATTTTAAATTTGAAACGGATCATACCATTATTAATTTATTTCATAAAATCTTAATTCGAAAATCAATAGAATAAAACAGTTAAACTATGAACTAAAGTCAAAAAATAATTTTCAATTCATGTATAGAATATGCATTTTAACAAGCGAAGATATGTCATTGCATAGATATGTGCTAACCCCCGTAGATAATAACGTTCTTATCATGATAATCACTTACGATGAAATTCAATCT